ATCGTATTTGGTTATATTAGCTAATTTCTATTTGTTCTTATTATTGACCAGGCTATAAAATTAAGGTTATTACCTAATATACAGGGCATATTTATATACCAGTGATACAATCTAAAATAAAAAATAGAAAATTTCCCATAGAGTATGGTACCCAGAAAAATATTGCCCTATATAGTTATTATGGTTGGTATTTGGAGTTAGATATTAAAGACTTTTAGATTTTTTTTCTTAAACTATAACAATAATGATAATGATCATACAAAAATATTTGCTTTTATTTATTTTATTTAATATAAAATGCATAACAGGCTAATTAATTATTATGCGATACTCTAAGTAAAATTGTTCTATATCTCTAAACTCTTTTGAAACCCTCATTCTAATATAAATTTTAACCCTACATAAAAATTTGTGCTAAAATTTAATTACAAATTTATAAAATCTTAGAAACATATATAAAAATATTATAATTTATATATATATATATATATATATATAACTTACAGTACTGTATTAATATTTGCTTGCAGCTTGTTTAATATTTATTAGCTATCCGCATTTTGTAACACCTAGTTCTTCCTTTAGATATTCGTTGTTTAAATTTTTAATACCATTTATGGTTAGTTTTTCTCTTGCAAATGCTGCTTCTAATTTTAAATAATCATCATTACCATCATCATAAGCTTTATTTAGTTTTTCAAAAAACTCATGAAGAGTTGGAACTGAATCAGAAATTGAAGATGTTGGTTGTGAAATATTCAATTGTTTATTGACTTTAATGGCATAAGCCATTCTGAATGCAAGGTAGAAAGGTGGAACTTCTACTGTTGCATCTCCGATATTCTGTAATATATATCAATATATATTTATTAATATAATATATATTTATTACATGTATTTACATGTATTGTACGTACTATACTGGGATGTTCTATAGAATAGATGAGCAATATAAGAAATAAGCTTTGCCAATGATTAGTAATCGTTAATTTTTTAATATATTCACGTGATATTTGGTAGAGTTTAGCATCTATTCTATAGAATATCCAAGTTTCGAATTTATCAAATCCAAGTATTATTTGGTTTTCAAATTTAAATTTTTATTATCAAATTTTCTGTTTATCATCTTATGAATATTAATATTAACCACATCCTGTGCCTATAAATGTAAAAGTAGAGGCATTAATTGGAAATAGTTTTGGTCTTCGATATAACAAGCCGTATTATAGGTATTATATTCATATTTTGATCTGATTTGTAAAATAATCTTGGTTAATTTGATTTTGTCTGAAGAAAGACTTGACTCTTTTGGCACATAGTTTGCCTTTATTTTTTTATTTTTTGGTTTTTTCTCTTCACCAGAATCACTATCTTCAACAGATTTCTATAAATATATATATTTTTTTTAAATATTAAGGTGATCACTTGGGGTCTGGCACGGTTTATCAACTTCTTAGTTCAATTATCAGAATACCGAATAGGTACCTCTTGACTTTGTTACATCGATGAGAGTACAATTGGTTACATGTACAACTTTAGTCATTGTTTAATTAAGGGCTCTACTATACTATCTATAGTTACCCACCAATTGCTATACCTAGGATCCACTTGTGGATTCCCTATTTAAACCCTCTGATCGACTTAGCACTGTCAGATTCTTTCTCTGAAAGAATTCCTACTGCTAAGACCCCTTAGGACTACTTTATCTTCATAGTAAACCTACCAGAGCAGTTCATATCCCACACATGTATCACCTGGGTTTTTGGTAACTTACACCCAATCCGAGAACTGGTACTTGCAGCTTTTGTGGCTGCTACCATTACCTACTCTTTGCTTTTACAAGGTTCATTCTGATCCTGATACCCACTTTCAACCAGTCCTTATACTGATCTCTCCCTAACTACCAAACCAGTTAGCCCAGAAGGGTTGTTGTATCTAGGCTCTAAGTGCCTTCTGGTTTTACTTTCCTTGGTTCCGAATTTTGTAGCATCAGACCTTTTCCTCCGGTGTGATTCTGATAGCCAGGTTGATAGACCCTTCTTGCCCCAGGGTTGTTCGTCTGGTTCTTCGGTTTCTGGTTCCAATTTTCTGTAGTATCGTCGAAGATCTTTACTACTCCTAGCTCGAGTCTTGCCAAACAGATTTCAAATATTCCAGTTTCTTGAATTTGGATCGCCCTAAAGCTTCTATAACGAGATAGTAATACCAAGATTACAGGTGATATACCTAACCGATCATTGAATAAATATTACCAGAACACAGGCCTATTTTTCAAAAAATATCTCCGGTAGGAATCGAACTCTAGACCTGCCGCTTGGGGGTGACAACTTAACCACTACTCTATGTCGCCACACTCTATTTTTATAAATATATAATTAATATTATATTAATATAAAATAAGTAAATTATTATAATATAAAATTATATATCTCAGCTTTTCACTTATTAGATTTTAATTTAATATATATCACTATTATTTTATTTGAACTTAGATTTTTATTCTCAGTAATGAATGAATCGAAATCATGTTCATCATCTAATACTATCAGCTAGCCATACCCATTTATCTTGTATGAAATTTTAAGATCATAGTTATCGATTTTCTTATTTTTAAAATGCTCACAAGTATGTTTAGTAAGATCATAATAAAATGCATCAAATGTATCTGAATAAAACATAAACCATTTTTCTGCCAACAGTATAGAATTATTGACCTTAATAATGACTTTTATTTTTAATTCTGAACTTTTATTATTTGGTTAGTTGGTTGAAGAATCAAGATTATCATTTGGTAAATCAGAGGTTGTTAAATAATCATCATCATAGTCATTATCGGTTGGAGAATATTCTGAATCTGAATCTTCTTTGAAATGTATAAAATAGCTATGACAAGTATTACAAAAGCTTATATTAAATTTTTTTTTAAAGTTGCAATCATAATACCAAAGTCTATTATATTTTCTAAAAAACAATTCTTGATTTAAAGGTGTTGTTTTAGGATTATAAACTCGACTATAAAGGTTATGAATTTTATTGTGGAAAGGTTTTTTTGTTGTATCACATTCACAGGGATTTTTAGCTTCAGCAAAGCAAAAAAGATATTTTTGATACGAAAAACATGTTCTAATTTTGTATAAAAACGATAACATTTTAACCACACATATGATAAGCGATTATATTCAGGTTAAATACCTTTTAAAATTTATCATGGATGTTATGATATTTATATAACATACAAATATGACAAATGCAAACAAAGATCTACATATTAGCATCTTTATTTTTAATATTAGCATTGATGAATATTACAAACCATGCATACAAATACACAAAACCAAATTATTAACAATAATGTATATATGTATATTAAAGTGTTAAAGAATTGTTAAATTCCTGAAATTAATGATTAGAAGTTTATATGTAAGTGCTCTTGATTACCTGCTAGATATATACATATGTGTATAAATACAATTATAATTAGATTTTAAGGGCTAACAGGTTTCTTTTGGCTGTTTTACTACCCCAATACCCAGAGCTTATTCAAGATCTCTATTTCTAAGTTGAATAGTACTGTGTGAAGAACCAGGTACTATATTTGGGAAAATATTAAAAGTAGTAAATCAATATAGTCTTATTCAAGAAACAGGATGATGTAGATAGTGAATATGGGTGCCTAAATTATTTTTGAAAAATCATATATTAGTGAAAAATTAGATACTGCGGTAGCAGTAGAAGTGCAAGGACTTTATATCAGAGATTTAGCTTCTTATTTACAGTAGTAGCAGTGAAATGATTTTTGGCAAACATTTCGGTATTGCTAAAAATTTTTAATATGAAACCCTTCGAAATAACTATATTATATGATATATTTTGATGAAAAGAGTTCAAAAAATTTCAGCAATAATTTCAGCAATATATGAAATTAATTTCAGCAATATATATGAATAATTTCGGCTACCTAAATGCTGTAATTACTTTTTTATTAAGATAGGCAATTTAGGTACCCATATATACATAAAGGGTATTATTTTTGGAGAATACTATATACAGTGGTTAATAGTATAATTGTTAACAGTAATTTATACAGTATATTTAATTCAATAGTGTATGTATAGGGTGGTTATCTCATTATTTCAACTTCACTTAAGACAATTGTAATAGAATTTAGCTATCAATTATGTAAAGATCATAATAATAATAGTGAATTTGTATACAAAACAAACATATCATTACCTCACACTATATTCCAATACAACTTCCTAAACAAAGCATTGTTGTATCCAATTAATGACAATAAATGTGTATTTTTCTGAAATGTTAAGTGGTTCATCTGGTCTGGTCTTAAAAAGTCAGGTCCTGGTATTATAGTCTAAGAAGAGATTTCTAATTCTTTTTGCCAAACTTTAGCTCTAGACCACAAGTTCAAACTGTATGATTTCATAGTTAGTTACATATTTAATTAGATTTACATCAATTAAGAGATGCATAGTAATTTAAATTTTGTCACATAATTTTTAAGGTTTGGCAAATATAGTATTATATAGGCAATCAATATTACAGGTCTATATATACTAGTTATCACAGGTTTTATAGTCAATAAATATGATCAATTTATTAATCGTGTTGCTCTTTTCTTATAACAAGAAGAGAATTTTATTTGCAAGATATTTTATGATAGCTTCAAACCCAGACTGTATGATTTCACAGTTATATATTTATATCAATTAAAAGATGCTTAGTAATTTAAAGTGTGTACCTTCTACCAGTTTTAAAAGCTGAATGGTGAATACCCAGAGTATATGAGTATGATATATATAGCACAATACAGTTAACCATCTCTAAATACATGATATTGGAACTATAGTAAAAAATTTTAAAAATATGCATTTAGAGAGGTTATGTATTTAGAGAGATAAAAATCTATAAGTATTATATTA